CTTCTGTGTGGATCAATCTTGGCGCTGTGCGGACATTGAGATGCTGGGGCTGGAATCGGAGTCCTACACATACGTGAGTGATGCACATGGTACTACTAGGTGGCTGGATCATTGTGTTGTTTCGGAAGCAGCGTGGAAAATGATAATGGACGTTAGAATACAATACAATGTATACTGGTCGGATCATTTCCCTCTTGAAGTAGTATGTGACTTAAATGTATTAAGATCTAAATCTGTGAATTTAAGAAAAGAACCTGACATGGTTATATGGGGTGAAAGAAATCTACATCAAATATCTTTGTATCAGGAACACTGTAATAGGTTACTAAAGTGTGTTGACTTTCCATATGAAGTGAGAGAATGTTGTGATCAACTCTGCGCTAACGTAGATCATAGACGAGTTATTGACAACTTATATGCAAGTATCATTTCCGCTTTAAGAAGTGCAGCGACTAGTAGCCATAATATTATGAAGGGGAGTACCCGTAAGAGAAAATATGTGGTTGGATGGAACAAGTATGTGAGACCACTTCATGAGGAGGCTCGACTTGGGTTTCATAACTGGGTTCTGTGTGGTAAGCCTAAGACGGGACTTTACTATGATAGTATGGTGGAATCCCGAAAAAGGTTTAAAAAGAAATTAAAATGGTGTCAAGACAATGCAGAACAAATAAAAGCAGATATTTTGGCTTGTCATCACTCAAATAAAAACTTTGGCACTTTTTGGAAGCAGACCAGTAAAATGACCCCCGGGTCGAGTCTTCCCGTGAATGTAATGAGTGAAAGTGACCCCTTTAAAATAGCGGAATTGTTCAAAACACAGTTCAAAGTGGATTCACCACTTGGACCGACAAAGGATGCGCCCAAATTGGCACAGCTCAATCAGGAGTCGCTTATGAGGTTTACTGCCAGTGAGGTGAAGGCAGCGGTGAGGAGCATGACACGTGGTAAATCACCTGGGCATGATTCTCTAAGTATAGAGCATCTTCAATATGCTGGTGTCCATCTGCCCAGAGTACTTGCCATGCTCTTCACTCTGTGCATTGGCCATACTTATTTACCCGATGACATGTTAAAGACAATTGTAGTCCCAGTACCGAAAAACCGCACGGGAGATGCGTCGGATGTGAATAACTATAGGCCAATCTCGCTGGCAACCATAATATGTAAGGTGTTGGACAGTGTGCTTGATAAGCACCTGGAGAAACATATACACCTGCACGACGCCCAATTTGAGTTTAGGTCTGGATTATCGACGGAGGCAGCAGTGCTGTGCCTCAAGCATACTGTCCGACACTATACGGATCGTGGGACACCTGTATATGCATGCTTTCTGGACCTGTCCAGGGCGTTCGATCTGGTGTCCTACGATCTGTTATGGAAAAAGCTATATGACCTGTCAGTACCCGGTGCACTGATTGAGATGTTCAAATATTGGTACGGCAACCAGACTAACAGAATTAGGTGGGCTGGCTCGATGTCTGGCCCGTTCAGGCTGCAGTGCGGAGTGAGACAGGGAGGGTTGACATCACCAAGGCTTTTCTGTCTTTATATGAATCAGCTGATCGATGAGCTAAGTAACACCCGAGCAGGATGCTCAGTCGGAGGCCAGTGTTTTAATAACATTAGCTACGCTGACGATATGGTTTTGCTGAGCCCATCGGTATGTGCCCTTAGGAAGCTGTTAGACACGTGTGAAATGTACGCGGAGACTCATGGCCTCAGATATAACGCTAGTAAAAGTGAACTTTTGTTATTTAGAGCCGGCACAAAAACATATAATATAATACCACCAGTCGAGTTAGGAGGTGTCACTTTGAAAATTGTTTCAAAATTTAAGTATCTGGGGCACTGGGTCACCGCGTCGCAGTCTGACGACCTAGACGTGGAGCGGGAGCGTAGAGCGTTATCGGTAAGAAGTAATATGTTGGTCCGCAGGTTTGCAAAATGCACAACAAGTGTTAAAACTACCTTGTTCAGAGCTTATTGTCAAACTTTCTACACCTGCAGCCTGTGGATCAATTGTACTAAGAAAGCTTATAGCGCACTACGTGTCCTATACAACAATGCGTTCAGGATGTTGATGGGGCTGCCGCGTTACTGTAGTGCGTCAGGGATGTTTGCGGAGGCGCACACGGATGACTTTCATGCCGTCATGCGCAAGCGAGTCGCGTCCCTGATGATGCGCGTGCGCGGCAGCGCCAACAGCCTTCTGAGCGCGGTGGCCAATACAAATGACAGCCCTATACTCAGTCATTGGACGAAGTCGCATGAGTCGCAGATTAGGTGTGAGAAGTGAGGGAGAATCTGGTAATTTTCCCCCATTTCTCATGTGAATTTTTATTTTATTTTTATTTTTGTATATTAATTGTAATTTAATTTTATTTTCTGAATTAAACATGTGAAATCACTAACATAGCACATAAGGTCATTGTTACTAACACATATGGATGTAAATCTGAAATAAATGTATTATTATTATATTATTATTATTATTATGCTGCACCGCCTTTTTAATATAAGCTGGGCGAAGTTCACAGTACCAAAAGATTGGCGAAAATCAATAATTGTTCCTCTGTATAAAGGAAAAGGTCGCAGCAGGAATGTAAAACTACCGCGGTATCAGCCTCCTTAGCGTCGTTGGCAACTGTATGCAGAAGTTGTGATTGAAAGAGTTATTGTGCATGAAACTGAAGAGAAATTATGGGATGTATAAGCGGGATTCAGGAAATGAAGAGGATGCATGGATCAAGAACTTTTCTTTAAGGTGCATACTGCGCCTTCGTAGACTCAGAGAAGGCTTATGATAGGGTAGTAAGGAATGAGCTGTGGAAAACTTTGTCCATGTATGTGATGGTGAACAGCCGTCTGGTTCAAGGGTTGTAATCTTTATATACAGGGATTGCAGCGCTTGTATACACAGAATGGTTTAACATTCGTAGGGGTGTTAGGCTGGGCTGTGTAGTGTCTTCTTGGCTGTTCAACCTGTTCATGGACAATTATTTATTGGATTTGAAAGGTAGTGAGTGTGGATTAAGAATGAACGAGTTACTTCTCAAATGCCAAATAAGCTAAGCCGATGATCAAGTGATTAGTACATAAAGCGTTTGAAAGGAAAGGAATGAAAGTTAATGTGAGTAAGACGCACGTACTGGTGATTTAAAGGGACGAAAGTGTTACACAATACGACATTAGAATTGGCAGCGAGAGATTAGAACAAGTGAAAGAATTTGTGTATCTGGGTAGTGTGTTGACAAGAGATTGTAAGTGTGAAAGTGTAATGAGCGGAGACTGCAAAACGGAAATCGAGTGAATGGAGCCCTGTATGCCTTTATGGGTAGCCAAAGTGTCTCAAAACAAGCGCGTTCGGTTTTTCATCGGGGCGTGCTGCTCCCAACCCTAATGTATGGTACTGAGTGTGTGGTGTGGCAGAAAAAACATGAAAGTATGATGAATGCTGTATAAATAATAATAATAACGCATACACTCAACATAGCCCCGCACTAGGGAAAATCCTATGTCGCGGGTGCCATGGACATACACATAGACAACCACAAATTACACCCAAACTCACAAGAGAAATAAATGTAGGCCATACAAATATTTCTCCCGACCCGGGAATCGAACCTGGGACCTTTGCGTGGCAGTCCGGCATGGTAACCGTTCAGCCACAGAGGTACTTAAAATTTTATTAATAATTAGTTAAATGAGAGCTTTGCGCAATTTGTGCGGTATTAGTCTTAAAGATAAAATGCCGAACAGTGTAGTAAGAGAGCGTTGTGGTATGGAAGATGATGTAGTGACAAGGGTAGAGAGAGATAGGGATGCTTCGATGGTTTGGTTAGAAAGAAACGAATGTTGGTAGATTGACAGCACAAATTTATAGAGCGAATGTGGATGGAAGCGTGGGGAGAGGCAGACCTTAGCGAACATATCTCAATCAGATTGAGGATGATCTTAAAAAAGCGCTGGTTAAAAGTACCAACAATAAACGGACATGTACGAAGAGATTTATGGGAGTGGACTAGGCGAAGGAGGTTTGTCAGGAGCGTAGCAAGAGCTGATTTTTTTCATATGATTAATAACATTCCTGATAACTTTTATTCTTATGTAATTTCTTGAAAAGCTGATTGTTTCAGAGAAAAAGAATTTTTTTTTTTTGGTTGGAGAAATTAACATTTTATTTTTTATCTCGAAATGTACGAAAATGTAATGTATGTGGTTTATTTACAGTATAGGTTCAAACATTCTCTATCAAAAAAAAAAATCCGTCTGAAGGCTCCACTTGCGGCTTTACGAGTAAAAAAATGGCAAAATTTTAGATGTGTTATTTTTTTAAACACAATATACTAGTTTCTACTTAACTTTCGTGTTATTGTTATAGCATTCTCTAAATTACACTAAAATTAATTTTTCTTTACTCGTGACTCATGTATTTTGTTAAAAAAGTACAAAAAAAGTTAGCAATTTTGCCGCACCTTTACTTACAAAGCCGCAAGTACATGCAGACGGATTATTTTTTTCTACATACAAAATGATCGGAACTACACTGTAAGTAACACACGCACATTACATTTTCGTATATTTTGATATAAAAACTAAAATATATATTTCTCCACACAAAAAAAATATTTATTTTTTTCTCCGAAACTATCAACTTTTCAAGAAATTATACAAGAATAAAAGTTGTTAGGAATGTTATTATCTATCACATAAAAAAGAGCTCGGTACTCCGATACTTATTCCTATGTCCAAGAATAATCAATTTGGGCCCACTGTGCGGCGGGCTGTTTTGTGCTTAGTACGCATTGACTTATGTTAGTACGTGAAGTTTTCGTTTGTGGTGGTACTAATCGTTTTGATCTATACAGACACTTAATAAATGATGATGATTGATTACCTGCTCTAGGTATTTGCCAATTCCATTAAGTGCGGTAATGAGCGTGCTCGAGAGCTAGCGTCGACGCCACTGGCACGGCGCGGCACCGGCGTTATCACTCTGACCTAAAGCCTCAACATGAAACTGTTGTACATATTCTTCAGTCCCGTCCTAGTTCTCTTACCAGGTAAGTACCTACATAAGAAATCGAGTTACTCATTAGGTAAGTACGTACTTATACTCGTAATACATCAATTTGTAAGAGAGCAAGAGAGGTAAGAGCGATGGCACACGGGCAATACGTTGTCGCAACGCTATGATTATATAATGATACTGTTTCAATCTGAAGTCGTTCTGATTTATAGTGTAGTACAAGGTCAAGCACATCAAGCTTGACACTTAAGATGTAAATCCAACTCTATGCCGCTTACGATAAAAACGGTCTAAGGTACAATGTGTCAAGCTTCTTGACTGTACACCGCAGTGTCACAACGCAGTGTCGCGTCGTCGTCGCAACGCATCGTGTTGTGGCATCGTACTAAGGAGTGTGATTCGTTCGCTTGAAAACCAAGCTGCGAATAATAAGAAAGATACCAAAGTTGTTTTATTGCAAAAGAAATCGCGCACGTGAGAATATAGGCATATACATATGAGAATAAAGTGTACAAATTTTCTGTGTTCAGTGGTAAACTGGAGCGAGGGGCAATCGTACCACAACATGAGCAAGTTCTTCGCAAACATGAGTTTCGGTCAGGTGCATCGCGGCGGCTTCAACATCAGCGAATGCACCGAAGACTTGATGAATTGCTGGGAAAACATAGTGTATTTTTATACCTATTTCAGTATTTTTTGTTGTTAGCCTTTCTACACTGTTTAACAGATTAGGTCGAGACTATCAACTGAGCTTTTGAGGGTGCATTAATCAAATCTAATGTTCTCCTATAGCAATTAGGTATATCGATTTCTGCGCTGTTCTAATAACAAATTTAAAAAACTTTTAACATGCATAATATATCTAACAAAATTATACGTCCGTCCGCCAGGAAAAATATTGTGTCATTCAACGCTAAATGTTTTGGTTTAATTACTTTTTAACCGACTTTAAAAAAAGAAGAAGGTTATACGTTCAGCTGCATGTATGTTGTCCGATTTCTCCACCAATTGTAGACCGATTTTGAAGATTCTTTTTCTTTTGTTTGAAAGAGTATATGGGCACTCTCGAGGTAGTCCTATTGTCACTAAGTCAAAATCTGATGAGGGGACCCAATAGAAATCGAGCGAAATCTTCAATTTTACAGGCATGTGCAGTGTATTCAGTGATTTCTCCGTCAATAATTGCGGACCGATTTTGAAAATTCTATTTTTAGTTTGAAAGGGTATACTCTAAAGATAGTCCCATTGTCACCAAGTCAGAATCTGATGAGGGAATGCCATGGAAATCGAACGAAATCCTCAAATTTTATAAGCACGTACAGTGTGTTTGTTGAACTGTTTTACAAATCAAAAGTTCTCGGATAGGTATGGTCGTCCTCATCATTTCATTTATCGTAATGATAGAACGGAATAACTTGTATTGGGCCTATTTGAATAAAAATATTTGACTTTGACTTATCGTCAGCTCAGCAGCATGAAGTAATGACTCAAAGAGTCGTCTTGCTCAAGTCAGGATTTGAGCAGACTTGAGTATGATTTCAAGCACTGGATATACGACCCTAATGGCAAGAACTTGAGTATAATTTTCAGTGCTCACTGCAATTAAGTTTATGTTATGTAAGATAGCCGTTGGTCTTCCTAAAATTAAATAATAATAATAATAAAAGGGCGTAGGGATGTGACGACCTCATCGCCCACTGGTGGAACGGCACAGTGAATATCATGTCACTTTACCGTTTCAGTAGTGCAAACAGTCAGCGCTTGAGTTCTTTGATGTACAGAACCGTGTCAAGGAACTGGTCTCAGCGTTAAATAGGGTAAATAACGGTCTCCCGGGGGTAAGTGAGTGAAAGCCCCGGGTGTAAAATTGCTCATCGTAAACGATGGAGCACAACAGTTACGATGAGCGAATAGGGCCGCTTCCCGGGGGTAATCGCCGGGGCGCGTCTGGAGCTGTGACTGGGCGTGGCAGTATGCGGGCCCCCAGCCGCGGCAGACTGGCCCGACCATCCGGCCAGTCTACTCACGATCCATCACCACCAGTTGGCTTGGTATCGGCAGGGGCTGGGGCAACTCGGTCCCAGCAATCGGTACCCGCCTCTGATGGAGTACGGCGCCGCATGGCATGGACGATTGATATGAATAAAAATGCCATGCGGGCCTATTTTAGGGCCTCAGGTTCGGGAACCGGACGGACAGGTTATCGAGCAGTAATGTATCGCGAATTTCTTCGGCTGGAGCCAACTTTGACCGTCACAGAACAAACCTTGGCGGACCGAGTTCGGTACCTACAGCGCTCAGGACTTTTTAGCGCTGCCGAACTCGAGCAATTACGATGCGAGGCTGTTCCTCCACTGGAAGAAGAGCCACCCAGGCTGGAGCGCTCTCCTGTTCCCAGTAGGGAAGTTCACAGGGAACCTAGTGCTCAGCAGCGGGATACGGGTGGTACTGAAAGTGATTGGGGAACAGTCGCCCTGGATTTGGAAGCGTTGAGGAGTAGTCTGGAGGAGACGATTCTGGAATATCGCCACGTGCCTCTTGAGCGAAGGCCACGGCTGCCTCGAGTGCCTCTCAGTGTCAAGGTTCGGGATGCCGTTGGGGCCATTAACAACATGCTTCCCTCATTTTTAGAGGAAAGCGCAGGCCTTTGGGAGACAGACTCAATTCTCTTCGCTGCCGCAATGACTGTATTTAAATTTGTCGGCATCAGGATGCCGCCAACAAGACCCGGCGGTAACCACCAGGTTGGCAGTACTACTCCTAGGACTAGTACTAAGCCAGCCTGGATGAGGCGAATTGAGGGTCGTATAGCATGGGCCAAGGTCCTCATCGGCAAACTGACTAGCTTCAGATCAGGCGTCACAAGGCCGAGAGTGGTGCGCTTTGTCCGAGAAGCATTCCCCGGTGAGAACATTTTTGTAGACTCACCGGAGTTTGCACGAAAACTGACAGGGCGTATCGATGATCTGAAGCAGAAGATAGCTGCTTGGGGCAAGCGGATTCGGCGATATTCCGAAAGGGTGAAGAGGTATCGGCAGAATCGTCTCTTCATGAGTGACCAAAAGAAGTTTTATAGGACACTGGAGCGTCCTGATGTGGTCTTGGTGGGTGAGCGTCCGGACAAAGCAGAAGTGGTCGCCTTTTGGCGAAGGCTTTGGTCGCAGCCCGTCGATCACGAAGAGGGCCCATGGTTCGAAGCGGTCGAGGGAGCATGTGCGACCATAGCGCCTATGAATCCCATCAGCATATCCGAAGAGGATGTAGCGGTAGCGGTCCGTAAGGCTCCGAACTGGAAAAGTCCGGGACCGGACGGACTGCATCATTATTGGCTGAAGGGGTTCTGGTGCTGCCACGCTACTCTCGCTCGTCAGTTCCAAAGTGCCCTTGAGAGTGGGACACTCCCAAACTTTTTAACTACTGGGGTCACTCATTTAGCTCCAAAGAGCGATGCTACCGCGGATCCATCACAATATCGCCCCATAACTTGTCTTTGTACAATATACAAAACTTTAACATCTGTTTTGAGCTCCAAGATAAGTCAGCACATTGTTGATAATAGTGTGATGTCTGAGGCTCTAAACGGATGTAAGGGCGGTAGCCGCGGTAGTAAAGAGCTGCTCCTCATCGACGCGGTCGCTGGCCAACTTGTCAGACGCAACCGTCGGAATTTCTCCGCTGCCTGGATAGACTATAGGAAAGCGTTCGACTCGGTGCCCCACTTATGGCTCTCGAGGGTCCTCGAACTGTATAAAATTGATAATGCAGTTCGACACTTCCTCGGGCAATGCATGGGATGTTGGAGAACGATCCTGAGTCTGGACGGTCGGCGGATGACGGATGCGGATGACCGAATAAAAATAAGGCGAGGTATTTTCCAGGGCGATTGTCTGAGTCCACTGTGGTTTTGCCTGGCCCTGAACCCTCTGAGTACTCTATTGGAGAGGTCGGGCACAGGCTTTCAGTTTCGGAGAGGTGGGCCGCGAATGCCTCACCTTCTCTACATGGATGATCTCAAGCTTAAAACTACGGCCCCACAGCTGACAGATTGGCGGAGCTGCTGACAATCACCAACGATTTCAGCAGTTCGGTTAGGATGGAGCTTGGGATCGATAAGTGCGCGGTGGTCCATGTTGAGAGGGGACGTGTCATGCATTCTGATGGCATTAATGTTGGCACCAATCACCTGCGGGTACTCTCCGAGACTGAAACATACCGGTATTTGGGCATGTCACAGACCATCGGTGTGAAGGAAGCAGACGTGAAACAGGGTATGTGCGAGGTTTTTTATGGGCGCCTGAAAAATGTGCTAAACAGCTATTTGTCAGGCGTTAATAAGATCCGAGCTTATAACTCCTGGGTCATGCCTGTTCTGATGTACACATTTAGCGTGCTCAAATGGACTCAGACGGAATTAGACGCTCTGGATAGACGAGTCCGCACGACGATGACCTCTCACCGAATGCATCATCCGAGATCGTCAGTTATGAGATTGTATGTCCCGCGGAAGTGTGGAGGTAGAGGCCTATTAAGTGTCAAAACCATGCACAACCGCGAGATATGCAGTCTCAGAAACTACTTTTTGACGATGACGGACGACGTAATTCGTGGAGAGGTTGTCACATGTGATAAAGGACTAACTCCCTTATCGTTGGCCAAAGAGGAATGGCAAGACCCGGTGGTGCTTAGCACCTCTGACCGCGAGTCCGTATGGAAAGAGAAGGAGCTCCATGGGAGGTTCTTCAAGGTACTCCACGAGCCTTTTATGGACCGTAAAGCCTCCCTACATTGGCTGCGTTTCGGGGACCTCTTTGGGGAAACCGAAGGTTTTGTCTGTGCAATACAGGATCAGGTTATCAAGACGCGGAACTATCGGAAATATATCCTAAAGGACGGCACAGTAAACATTTGTCGGGCATGTGGCAAAAAAAAAAAAAAAAAAAAAAAGAAATGTGGCCGTCCCGGAGAGTCACTTAGACATATTGTTTCCGGTTGTTCCGCTCTTGCTAACACTGAGTACTTGCACAGACACAACCAGGCAGCCAAAATATTACATCAAGAGCTCGCTCTCAAGTACGGACTAGTGCAACAGAGGTTGCCATATTACAAGTATTCACCGGAGCCAATACTCGAAGATGACTGCACCAAAATCTATTGGGATCGATCTATTATCACGGACAGGACTATTCTTGCGAATAAGCCTGATATTGTGATATTGGATCGATCGCAGTCGAGGGTATTTCTTGTGGACGTCACCATCCCGCATGACGAGGGTCTCGTGAAAGCTGAAACCGAGAAACGCCGGAAGTATCTCGACCTGGCGCACGAGATCAGCGACATGTGGGATGTGGCCTCCACTGAAATAATCCCAATTGCTTTGTCCGCAAATGGGTTAATTCCAGTCAGCCTTTCTAACAGTTTGAGGCGGTTGGATTTCTGTGGCGTGTCGCTTCCAGCACAAATGCAGAAGGCGGTCCTGCTCGATACGGCACGTATTGTTCGCCGATTCTTGGACCTGAGTCCCTGACCCCGGCCGACTGTGCCATTGCCGGGAAATACCGCCTCTCCCATTTAAAAATTCAAAATTAATCTTTTAGGCCTTGGGAGAGGCGAGAGTTTAAAATAAATACAATAATAATAATAATAATACTCAAGTCCTGACTTCAGTATTA